ACCACTGGTTTTTGTTTTGTTTAGTTTTTTTTGCAGTTTTTGGCTGGGGCTGGGTTTGAACCTGCCACCTCCAGCATATGGGGCTGGCGCCCTACTCCTTGAGCCACAGGCGCTGCTCGAGAACCACTGTTTTAAGACAACTTAGATCTGCCTAATATTTCCATTCAGTTGTATGGAATTCAGCAGTTAATCCATCCTAAACAAATAAAAGAACAGTTGGTGACTGTCTTAGTTTGCTCATCTGCTGTCACAAAATACTACAAGGGCAGCTTAAACAACAGAAACCTATTTCTCTTTGTTTTCAAGGCTGGGAAGTCCAATATCAAGGTATCAGTGATGCAGGACAAGGGTGCACCACCGCCTGCCACCCTAGCCCTGGACCTGTTGACTTTGCTGCAGATGGAGGAACCAGCTCGATATCCGCAGGACACTTAAGGGTAAGATACTGGTGCTGTGCTCTCTCCTCCACGTGGACTTCTGGCTATTCAATTTCACAGATGGTACCTTGCTGTCTGCTCCAGTGCACTCCTGATTGGTCAGTTTCTAAGACCTGCTTCTGATTGGCCTGTTTCCAAAACCTGCTCCTGATTGGTCAGTTTCCAAGACCTGAAAGCTCATTGGACAACTGGATATAACTGACAAGGACCCACAACCCCCCTGCCACTTATAAACCCCTGAGCTGGGAGCCCCAGAGCAGACTCCAGCAGACTGCAAAGAGGGAACAAGAGAGCTTGTTCCCCTCCTGGGCTCTGTCTGCAAGGAGGTTTGGTTTGTTGCAGTAGTTGTAATTTTTGTGTGTAAAATAAATCCAGACTTACTGTTGATCCTGTGGTCCGTCAATTCATTCCTCGAATCTCGGAGACCAAGAGCCTGGAAATTGAGTATCAGCAGCATGGTCAGTTCTGGTGAGAGCTCTGTTGCTGGCTTATAGACAGCCACTTTCTTGCTCTGTCTTCACATGGTAAAAAGAGAGCAAGCTAGCTCTCTGGTGTTCTTTATCTTTTTTTTTTTAATTTTCTGATTTTTTTTGTGAGACAGAGTCTCAGTTTGTTGCCTAGGCTAGTGTGGCATGGTGTCAACCTAGCTCTCAGCAACCTCAAACTCCTGTGTCTACGTAATCCCTCCTGCCTTGGCCTCCGAAGTAGCTGCAACTACAGGCACCCCCTAAAATGCCTGGCTAATTTTTATTCTGTTTTAGAGTAGAGATGAGGTCTTGCTCTTGTTCAGGCTGGACTTGAACTCTAGAGCCTCCCAAAGTGCTAGGATTACAGGTATGAGCCCCCACACCCAGCTAAACTTCTTGGTGTTCTTCTTATAAAGACAAAAATCCTATCAGATCAGAGTCCCATCCTTATGACCTTATTTAACTTTCAAATATAATCACATGGGGATCACGATTTCAACATATTAATTTGGGGATATAAACATTGATTCCATATGGTGATCATTTCAGATTGTTAGCTTCTAGAACAAAAAGATATGTATTTAATTGTATTATCTATTGCTATGTAACAATTTAATAGCAAACTTTAAGCTATTTAAAACAACACACTTGGGCCAGGCAAAGTGGTTCACACCTATAATCCTTCCACTCTGAGAGGCTGCAGGCAGGTGGATTGCTTGAGCTTACAGGTTCCAGATCAGCCTGAGCCATAGCAAGACCCCTACCGCTAAAAATATCAAGGTCTTGTGGCAGGCGCCTGTAGTCCCAGCTACTGGGAGGCTGAGGAAAGAGAATTGCTTGAGCCCGAGAGTTTCGGCACTCTACCCAGGGTGACAAAGTGAGACTCAGTCTCAAAAAATAAAATAAAACAACATATATTTATTAAACATTTGCTATGGGTCAGGAATCTGGGTCTTCTGCTTCAGGGCATCTCATGAAGCTACATTCATGGTATTTGACAGAGCTGGAATCTTATCTGAAAGCTTGATTGTGGAAAGATCCATTCCATACACGTGTGTTTGTTAAGATGATTTAGTTCTTTTTGGATGCTGGATTGAAGGCCTCGGTGTCTTGCTAACTTTTCTAGAGGCTTCTGTCAGTTCCTTGTCATGCATACCTCTCCAACGTACAGCTTGCTGCTTTTTTTTTTTTTTTTTTTTGAGACAGAATCTCAAGCTGTCACCCTGGGTAGAGTGCTGTGGCATCATAACTCACAGCAACTTCCAACTTTTGGTCTCAAGAGATCCTCTTGCCTCAGTTTTTCTATTTTTGGTAGAGACAGGGTCTTGCTTTTTGCTCAGGCTGGTCTCAAACTTGTGAGCTCAAGCTATCCACCCATCTCTGCCTTCCAGAGTGCTAGGATTATAGGCCTGAGCCACTCTGCCCAGCCACAGGTTGCTTCTTGAAAGCATGCAAACAAAGAGGCGAATAGAGTTTGCTAGTATGACTCATTCACAAAAGTGTAACCTAAACTTTGGTATATAGGCTCACCCACACTCAAAGGGAGGAGGTTATTACATGGAGGCAGAGAGAGACTGCGGGCCATCTCACAATCTCCCTGCCATAGCTATTATGCTTCCTTTGTAAAACACCAAATATTGAGTTTGAGACCAGCCTGAGCAAGAGAGAAACCCTGTCTCTAAAAATAGCAGGGTGTTGTGGTAGGCGCCTTGTGGTCCCAGCTACTCAGGAGGCTGAGGCCAGAGGATTACCAGAGCCCAAGAGTTTGAAGTTGTTGTGAGCAATGATGCCAAGCACTCAACCCCAGGTTGACTGAGTGAGAAGCTGTCTCAAAAATAAATAAAGAGGGCTGGGTGAGGTGTCTCCTTCCTGTAATCCTAGCATTCTGGGAGGCTGAGGGTGGATTGCCTGAGCTCACAGGTTTGAGGGCAGCCTGAGCAAGAGGGAGACCCCCATCTCTAAAAATAGCCAGGCGTTGTGGTGGGCACCTGTAGTCCCAGCTACTTAGGAGGCTGAGGCAAGACAATTGCTTGAGCCCAAGAGTTGGAGGTTACTGTGAGCTATCACGCCAGGTCACTCTACTGAGGGCAATAAAATTTGACTGTCTCAAAAAAAAAACCCAGCTCAGCGGCTGGGCACCAGCCACATACACCAAGGCTGGCGGGTTCAAACCCAGCCCGGGCCAAACAACAGTAGCTACTACAACAAAAAGAAAAGCTGGCGTTGTGGTGGGCGCCTGTAGTCCCAGTTACTTGGGAAGCTGAGGCAAGAGAATTGCTTAAGCCCAAGAATTTGAGGTTGCTATCAGCTGTGATGCTGCGGTACTCTATCCAGAACTACATGATGAGACTGTCTCAAAAATAAATAAATAAAATTGTAAAGAGGAACTATACCTAACATACCCAAGCAGTGTAACCTGATTCTTGTACCCTCAGTGATTCCCCAACAATAAAATAAAATTGTATACTTTAAAATGGTAACAGTGGTAAATTTTATGTTATGTGCATTTTACCACAATAAAAAAATAGGGAAGTTATGTTAGGATACATTATTTAAAGGGATGAAATATATATGCCATTAGAATAAACCTAAACTAATTTCTTATTCAGGGTAATTCTAGGAATTTTATGACTTGGTTAAAGCTAAGAAACACCTCAGGGATTGATAGCTTATGCCTGTAAAATATAGTGTTGGGAGAGTAGAGTGCCGTGACATCACAGCTCACAGCAACCACAAACTCCTGGGCTTAAGCAATTCCCCTGCCTCAGCCTTCCAAGCATCTGGGACTACAAGCACCCACCACAACAACCGGCCATTTTTTGGTTGTAGTTGTCGTTGTTGTTTGGCAGGCCTGGACTGGATTCAAACCTGCCAGCTCTGGTGTATGTGCTGGCGCCCTAACCGCTTGAGCTATAGATGCAGAGCCTATAATATAGTTTGTTGAAAATAGGGTGGGACAGGCAGCACCTGTGCCTCATATAGGGTGCTGGCCCATATACCAAGGGTGGCAGGTTCAAACCCAGCCCCAGCCAAACTGCAACAAAAAAATAGCCGGGTGTTGTGGCAGGCACCTGTAGTCCCAGCTACTCAGGAGGCTGAGGCAAGAGAATCACCTAAGCCCAGGAGTTGGAGGTTGCTGTGAGCTGTGATGCTACAGCACTCTACTGAGGGCAACAGAGAATAAGACTCTGTCTCTTAAAAAAAAGAAAGAAAAGAAGATAGGGTGGGAGTAGTGGCTTACTCCTGTAATCTTAGCACTCTGGGCGTCCAAGGTGGGAGGATCCCTTGTGTTCAGCAGTTCCTGAAACCTGAGCAAAAATAGAAAAATTAGCTGGGTTTGTAGGGCATGCCTATAATCCCAGCTACTTGGTAGGCTGAGGCAGAAGGATCACTTGAACCCAGGAGTCTGAGGTTGCCATAAGCTAGGCTGATGCCATAGCACTCTAGCCTGGGCAACAGAGTAAGACACTGTCTCAAAAAAAAAAAAAAAAATCAGCAACTTTCTGATTATCACAGAAAATTGAATTATCCTGTTATATGAATTTTTCTACCTAAGGGTTTACAGTTCTCTCTGATGCATTGGCTGAGATCCTGACCCAGAACTCAAAAGCAACCTTGCAGAAACAAACCATATCTGAGTTACTGTGACTCAACAAAGCATAAACCATTCTAATTTATTTCCATTTCTACCCCCATTGGTATTCAGGCCATACCAAGTCATGTAAATTAATTAGTCTACATGTTAGAATAATATATAGTCTGATTTTGTTCATGCTATAAATTAAATTTCTATGAATATTAGTGTGCAAAGGAAGAATACTTAGAACTGACCCAAGAATGAAACATAAAGTTAATATTTGTCTTGTGAGCTATACACAAATGCCTTATCAATTTACCTTTCAAATATAGTTTTAATGAAGTAGTCATTCATTGCCATATAGCTTTTTATAATAAGTCTACTTTGTAGAATATTTGTTTACAGAAAAAAAGAATTTTGCAAAAAATATAAAATTATTTTTAAATGTACTTTTTCAAATTACAACATTAAGTTGATCTCTAGCTCTGTAAAGATAAATGAGACAAGATCTTTAAAGTGTCACTGCATTTCAGGGTTGTTCTTGAAGAGATACTCTGCCTACAATTAAAAGGAAAAAGAAAGTCAAGTCAACAGTTTACACATTAATTATTATTAGTCATATATATTTGTATTAGTAATGTTTATAATTTAAAAATAAAAATACACAAGTTTTACCTTCAAATGAATAATAAAAATCTTATTAGAAACTGTAAATATGTTAGAAACTATTTCCCAAATAACTAGATACACAGTTTTTCTATCTCAAGGAGTTTCCTGTTAAGATTCAGATATATTTAAAAAAAAAAAAATTCAGATATATTGGCTCGGCGCCTGTGGCTCAAGCGGTTAAGGTGCCAGCCGCATATACCTGAGCTGGCGGGTTCAAATCCAGCCCTGGCTCACCAAACAACTATGACGGCTGCAACCAAAAAATAGCCAGGCATTGTGGTGGGCGCCTTTAATCCCAGCTACTTGGGAGGTGGAGGCAGGAGACTCGCTTGAGCCCAGGAGTTGGAGGTTGCTGTGAGCTGTGACGCCATGGCACTCTACCCAGGGTGACAGCTTGAGGCTCTGTCTCAAAAAAAAAACCATTCAGATATATTGTGGGCGGCGCCTGTGGCTCAGTGGGTAGGGCATCGGCCTCATATACCGAGGGTGTTCAAACCCAGCCCCAACCAAACTGCAAAAAATAGCTGAGTGTTGTGGTGGGCCCCTGTAGTCCCACCTACTCGGGAGGCTGAGGCAAGAGAATCGCCTAAGCCCAGGAGTTGGAGGTTGCTGTGAGCTGTGTGACGCCAGGGCACTCTACCAAGGGCAATAAAGTGAGACTTTATCACTACCAAAAAAAAAAGATCCAGGCATATTATATTTTTACAGTGTTATTAAAAAAAATTAAATCTCTTACCAGAAAATCAATGGGATCCTCTGGTCTGACTTTACAACACTCATTCAGACCCTGCATTAGAGTCGGCATGACGTGGGTCATTAAATAATTTCTCAGGGGAATAGACTGAGCCTCTAATAATTCTCTTTCTTCTCTTTTCACTTCCTCTAGTCGTTTATTCTACAAATAGAACATTTTGGGGTGAATTAAAATGTACAGTCAGAAAGGAAAACACTTTTCACATAAGATACCCCAGAGTGCATTTAGATACTGCTAAAAATGTTCACTACCTAATGATTAAGATGACATTTTCAACCCAGAGGGAAAAGATACAAACAGTGTTGTAATAGCTGCCTGGTCATTTGGAAATAATAAACTGGATCACATCTTACACCAAGATAATTTCTAGGCTCAGCACCTGTGGCTCAAATGGCCAAGGTGCCAGCCACATATACCTGAGCTGGCAGGTTCAAATCCAGCCCTGGCTCACCAAACAACTATGACGGCTGCAACCAAAAAACAGCCGGGCCTTGTGGCGGGCGCCTGTAGTACCAGCTACTTGGGAGGTGGAGGCAGGAGAATCACTTGAGCCCAGGAGTTGGAGGTTGCTGTGAGCTGTGATGCCAAAGCACTCTACCCAGGGTGACAGCTTGAGGCTCTGTCTCAAGAAAAAAAGATAATTTCTAATTTCCCAGTTGAAACAAAGTTAAACGAAAGAAAAGGGAAATCATAGAAGTGCTGCTAGAAAGTTCAGAGGACATTGGGATAATGACATGGGTTATTCCTTGTTCAGTATACAGTCGCCCTTTCTCTTAGGAATCACAGTTCCTGATTTCCTCTAATAAATCTCCCTCTCAGCCTAGTGGTTTGGCTTGGGTGGGATTTAAGTCCATCAGTCCAGCTACTTCCTGGCCTTGGATGTTAGGTAAAAATGGGCACATCAAATACAGCCTAAGGATGAAGCCAACCTAGGGAAGGCAGAGCCAAGAGAGGGATCCCAGGTCCCCCGGTATATCATTTGAGCCACTCTTAAGCCTTACCTGAAGAGCCCTATTCCTGGGTGTTTCTGTTATGTGAATCCATGCATTTTCTCTACATCTAGGTCAATTTGAATTTGCTCTTCCATCACTTGCAAGATAGAGACCTAACTCATAGTATTTGATTGAAAGGAGGACTTTCTGGCCCGGCCTGGTGGCTCACGCTTCTAATCCTAGCACTCTGGGAGGCCAAGGTGGGTGGATTGCCTAAGCTCAGGAGTTCAAAACCAGCCTAAATAAGAGTGAGACCCCCCTCTCTAAAATAGCTAGGTGTTGTGGCAGCCACCGGTAGTCCCAGCTACTTGAGAGGCTGAGGCAAGAGGATCTCTTGACCCCAAGAGTTTGAGGTTACTGTGAGCTATGACGCCATGACAGTCTACTGAGGCCAACAAAATGAGACTCAGTCTCAAAAAAAAAAAGAACTTTCTCATCAGTCAGCAAACCTAGAAACCAAAATGGGAAAAAGATTGATGGATTTCACTATATAAGCATAAAGCTTTTGTGTAGTCAGAGAATATACAATAAATAATGTTAAAGGATAAATGATGAATTGAGAAAAACTTTGCAACACTTTATAAAAAGCTAGGATACGGCTCGGGCTCAAGCGGCTAGGGCACCAGCCACATACACCTGAGGTGGTGGGTTCGAATCCAGCCCGGGCCTGCCAAAGAACGATGATGGCCACAACCAAAAAATAGCCTGGCATTGTGGTGGGCGCCTGTAGTCCCAGCTACTTGGGAGGTGGAGGCAGGAGAATCGCTCAAGCCCAGGAGTTGGAGGTTGCTGTGAGCTATGATGCTACAGCACTCTACCCAGGGTGACAGCTTGAGGCTCTGTCT